AAAAAAAAAAAAAGAAAGAAGCAAAGATGCGCAAAAATTCAGCCTATCTATTTTCTGTGTGCACGTGTATAAATAGAAAAAAAAGAAAACAATATGCCTTCCTTGATTGTGTTGATTTGTGTATATAAGAATTCGGTTTTCGTGAAACTAAATATATATATATATATATATATGGATAGATTGGTGGTGAGAGAAAGCGGTACCTTTTTTAAACTGAAGCCAAATGGCCCCCTTTTCTTCCTTTTTTTTTTCTGTCTTTTCTCTATTCTATTCCCTTATTTTTTTTTTTCCCCCTTTGGCTTCTACCGCCACCTTATGTACAACTACTCCACCTTTATTATCAAGAAGAAGTATAGAGAGAGAAAAAGAGAGAAAGGGAAAGAGAGAATATACATAAAGAGTATATAAACAACAGGGAACTGATAACTGAGAATATTATCACCCCATAAATTCAGTATGTATAGATACAGAAAAAGGCAAATAAAGCAGACAAACTAAACTATAAAGAAAACAATAATTCCTTCTCTTCTTTTTTTTTCCCCCCCCCCTTTTCTCTATTTTCCTCTTCTTTCACAAGATAAGAAGATTGAGAAATAAGAGAAGTAACTCTCTGAATGACTGTAGCTCTGCCAACAGCGAGAGAGCGTTAAGGAAAACTGTAGAAATAAGAAAGAAATAAGATACGGAAAAATAAAAGGCATCTATAAAGAGATCTACCTTAGAAAAATCAAAAAAGAAAAAAAAAATATATATATATCGTAAAAAAAAAAAAAAAAAGAGAAAAACGATAAGATTCACGGAATAGAGATATATATGAAAAAAATAAAACCAAAATAAAATAAAGTAAAATTTTGGTCTTGCCCACAGTGTACGGACCAGATTGGTAATGAACATAAAAAGGAAATATCGGGGGTGTTGGGAATAATTCCCTTCTGATTATTATTATTATTTTTTTTTTTTTTCAATGCTTCTCCCCCACTCTGCATATATTCCTTTTTTCTTTTCTTTTTTTGTACCCCCCCCTGTTAATCGTTTGCATCTCTGTTTTATTTCTCGTATATAATGCAACAAAGATATATTTATATATACATATATACATATATACATACATATATACATACATATTTCATTGTATTAATGAATTTGCATAACAATTGTACACTAATATTTGTTTTTTTCCCCCCTCTCAAATACACACACACTCTCTCTTTCGTTTTGGTTTAATTCCTTCACATTACGTTCACTTTCTCACATACATTGGTATATATATATATAGGTTTGACACTCGCACAGACAGTAGAGAGGGAAAAAGAGATGTAGACTGAAGTAGACCAGAAGGAACAAATAATAATAATAATAATAATAATAATAATAA